AAGAGGAAGGAAAAGGAAGAAAAAGGTAGGAAGGAAGGGAAGAAAAGGAAGGGAAGGAAAGAAGATGAAGGAAGGAAAGAAGAAGAAGGAAAGAAAGAAAAGGAAGGGAAGAAGGAAAGGATGAAGGAAGGAAAGAAGAAGGAAAGAAAAAAAGGAAGGAAGAGGAAGGAAAAGGAAGAAAAGAGTAGGAAGGAAGGGAAGAAGGAAAGGATGAAGGAAGGAAAGAAAGAAGAAGGAAAGAAAAAAGGAAGGAAGGAAGAGGAAGGAAGGAAGGAAAAGGAAGGATAGTAAAATAACAGAATAAAAGTGTTGGAAGGGACCTTGGAGGTCTTCTAGTCCAACCCCGTATTCAGGCAGAAGAACTCCGACCATTTCAGACAAATGCTTTTCCAGTCTCTTCTTAAAAGCCTCCAGTGATGGAGAAGGAAGAAAGGAAGGAAGGAAGGAAGGAAGGAAGGAAGGAAGGAAGGAAGGAAGGAAGGAAGGAAGGAAGGAAAAAAAGAATAGTGAATGGAGCTCGAAATCTCGGGCGAGGAGGGGGACGGGCGGTCTCGGGTTCAAATCCTGACTTTGACACGGGATTTTTCTGCCCGCAGTTTCGCCACAAGAGTGATAACCAGGTGAACAGCCGACATTCCCAAGTGCTCATCAACGGGATGTGAGTACGGGGTGTGTGTGTGATTGGAGGGCGGGGGGAATGCAGGAAATCCTCGACCTCCAACTGTTCATTTAGCGACGGTTTCAAGTCTCTCAACGGCAGCGGAAAAAACCTTAGGGCCGTTTTCCATTCTTCACGTAGCATCGCGAGATCAAAAATCCAGCCGCTCGGCCACCGTCTCGCGTTTACGACGGTCGCCGCGTCCCGGGGTGGGTGGGTGTCACGCGATTCTCCCCCCTTCGCGACCTTCCGGCAATCCAATCCGAGGCAGCAGGAATCGCGGTTCGCTTAACGACCGTGTTATTCGCTCAACAGCTGTAGCGATTCCCTCTTTCAACCCGGGGCGAGAAAGATTCGTAAATAGAGCCAGAACTCACTTCGTGTCTGTCTCGCTTAGCAACAGAAATTTATTCGGGGCTCGACGGGGGTCATAAGTCGAGGATTACCGCTTTTTGATCAACCATTTTTTGGGGGGAGGGGGGAAATTTCCCCCCAAAATTCTCCACCAGAGGCCCAAACTCCCACCTTATCTATAAAGCCCTTCCCCGTGGCTTCTTCTCGGCATTCGAAGGTAGACTGCGCTGAAGCATGGAGGCTCTTCAGGCTCAGGCAGAGAAGAGTCGAAACCCCGAAGCGAAAATCAGGCTGATTTTTTTTTTAATCTTCCTAAATGTTTTATTCCTTTAAAAAAAATTTTTTCCTTGCCATCTTTTCTTCTCTTTTCGTTCTCCCACTCTCGTCCCCAGCCTCGAGAAAGAGCAATGGATGAATGTCCGCGTTGGTGATATCATAAAATTAGAAAATAACCAATTTGTTGCGGTAAGTCCGGGTCTTGTGGATGGCGGACGGAAGCAGAGAAGTTGCCAGAAGGGGGGGAAGAATATGGGGAGAGAAGCTGTCATTTAAATTTCATTTAGATTCAATTGCATTTCATTTAAATTTCATTTAGATTCAATTGCATATCATTTAAATTTCATTTAATTTCAATTGCATATCATTTAATTTTCATTTAAATTCAATTGCATATCATTTAATTTTTAATTATCTATCTATCTATCTATCTATCTATCTATCTATCATCATCATTATCTATCTATCTATCTATCATCTATCTATCATCTATCTGTCTGTCTATCTATCNTAGATCTTTATCTTTATCTATATGTCTATCTATCTGTCTCTTTATCTATATTTATATTTATATCTATTTTTATCTTTTTATATCTTTATCTTTATATTTTTATATCTATTTCTATATCTATATTTCTATATCTTTATTTATATTTATATCTCTTTATCTATATATCTCTATTTATATTTTTATATCTATCTCTATTTCTCTATTTCTATATCTTTATCTATTTATATCTCTTTATCTTTATTTTTATCTATATATCTCTATTTATATTTTTATCTCTATCTCTATTTCTATATCTATATTTATATCTCTTTATCTATATATTTATTTTTATCTGTCTATCTTTATCTTTATCTATATCTATATATCTATCTGTCTATATCTTTATATTTATATTTATCTCTATATCTCTTTTTATCTCTTTTTTATCTCTTTATCTTTATCTTTTTATATCTATATCTTTATATTTTTATATTTTTATATCTATATTTCTATATCTTTATCTATATCTTTATATCTCTTTATCTTTATCTATATATCTATATCTATATTTATATAAATAACCACATGACCACGGAGACGTCTTCGGACAGCGCTGGCTCTTAGGCTTTGAAACGGAGATGAGCAGCGCCCCCTAGAGTCGGGAACGGCTAGCACAGATGTCCGAGGGGAACCTTTTACCTTTAGTCCTCCTAAAAATACATTCTTTTTTCCGTTTTTAGAGGGTTTATTTTTTAATTCTCCCGCTTCTCCCCAGAGTAACTGCATCAAGACATCGAAATACAACGTTCTCACTTTCCTACCCATCAACCTGTTTGAACAGTTCCAGGAAGTCGCAAATACTTACTTCCTCTTCCTCCTCATTCTTCAGGTGAGGTTTTTTTTTCCTGGGGGTGGGGAAATCTGGGGGTTCGCCCTCTTTTTTTCCCGTGGGGTGCCAAGGGGGTGTGGGTCAGGGGAAACCACAGTGTGGCACAGTTCGCTCCGCCACTAGCAGCCCCCCAAAAATGAAAATTTGAAAGAATCCCGCTTTCGTTTACAGATAATTCTTTTCTTCCTTTCTCGTTTTTCGTTTTTCCTTCTGTTTTTCGCTGTTGTGATTTTCTCTCCTCTCTGTCTCCGAAGATTTTTGCTCTGAGTTTCTCTCTTTCCTTCCTTTTCCTTATACTTTCCTTCCTGCCTCCTTTTCTTCCTTCTCTTTCTCTTTCCTTCTTTCTCTTTCTAGCGTCTCTCTTTCCTTTACCTCTCTTTTCCTCTTTCTCTTTTTCCTTCTTCTCTCCCTCTCTCCCTCCTTTTTCTTCCTTTCCTCCTCCCCTTCCTTCTTTTCTTCCTCCCTCCCTCCTCTCTCCTTCCTGCCTTCCTCCGCTCTTCCCATCTCCCTTTTTTCTTTCTTCCCCCCTTTCTTCTTTTCCTTCTTTTCTTCCTTCCTCTGTCCCCTCTCCTTCCTGCCTTCCTCCTCTCCTCCCTTTTTTCTTTCTTCCCCCCTTTCTTCTTCCCTTCTTCCATCCCTACATCCTGCCCTCCCTTCTTTTCCCCTTCCTCCTTCCTTCCCTTCCTTCCTTCCTTCTTTTCTTCCTTCCTCTGTCCCCTCTCCTTCCTGCCTTCCTCCTCTCCTCCCATCTCCCTTTTTTCTTTCTTCCCTCCCTTTCTTCTTTCCTTCTTCCATCCCTACATCCTGCCCTCCCTTCTTTTCCCCTCCATCCCTTCTTTCCTTCCTCCCTCCTCTCTTCTTCTTGCCTTTGTCCAGCCCTCCCTTTCTTCTTTCTTTCCTCCCCCTTTCTTCTTCTTCCCTCCTTACATCCCGCCCTCCCTTCTTTTCTTCCTCCTCTATTTTCTTTTTTCCTTCCTTCCTTCTTTTCTTCCTCCCTCCCTCTGTGGCTTCTCTAATCTCATCCTTGCCCGGACCTTACCCCCGCCCTGGTCCTTGAGCCCTCAAGGCGACCCCTGTCCAGGGTCCAAATCAATAAACTGGCCCCTCTCGGCTTTCCCTCCCCCAGCTGATCCCCCAGATCTCCTCGCTCTCTTGGTTCACCACCATCGTGCCTTTAGTCCTGGTGCTGACCATCACCGCGGTCAAGGACGCCACCGACGACTACGTGAGTATGGAGGAGGGGTTTTTTTTGCTTTCGAGCTGAAGGAAGAATTCATAGAATAACGGAGTTGGGAGGGGACCTTGGAGGTCATCTAGGCCAGCCCCTTGCTCAAGCAGGAGGCCCTAGAACCACTCGGGACAAAGGACTGCCCAGTCTCTTCTTTAAAAAACCCCAGTGATGGAGAAGGAAGGAAGGAAGGAAAGAAAGAAGGAAAGAAGAGGAAGGAAAGGGTAGGAAGGAAGGAAAGAGAAGGAAGGGAAGAAGGAAAGGATGAAGGAAGGAAGGAAGGAAGGAAGGAAAGAAGAAGGAAAGAAAAAAAGGAAGGAAGAGGAAGGAAAAGGAAGAAAAGGGTAGGGAGGAAGGAAAGAGAAGGAAGGAAAGAAGGAAAGAAGATGAAGGAAGGAAAGAAGAAGGAAGGAAAGAAGAGGAAGGAAAAGGAAGAAAAAGGTAGGAAGGAAGGGAAGAAAAGGAAGGGAAGGAAAGAAGATGAAGGAAGGAAAGAAGAAGAAGGAAAGAAAGAAAAGGAAGGGAAGAAGGAAAGGATGAAGGAAGGAAAGAAGAAGGAAAGAAAAAAAGGAAGGAAGAGGAAGGAAAAGGAAGAAAAGAGTAGGAAGGAAGCGAAGAAAAGGAAGGGAAGGAACGAAGATGAAGGAAGGAAAGAAGAAGGAAAGAAAAAAAGGAAGGAAGAGGAAGGAAAAGGAAGAAAAGAGTAGGAAGGAAGCGAAGAAAAGGAAGGGAAGGAACGAAGATGAAGGAAGGAAAGAAGAAGGAAAGAAAAAAAGGAAGGAAG